TTGTGGGGGGTAGAAAGTAGTGCATTTTATCCCAAGAAATTTAACATCTCGATAGTCACAAGGAGTTAGATCCTGACATAGATATGGCATGCGTATATCATGCGCCCTATTGCGTTCAGAAAAGCATTTGATTCACAGTTTTTTTGTGTGCCGATGAAGAGCTTTTTTATTCATTTACCAAATTTGGAAGTGTGAGTACGTCAAGTTATACAGTTCCGAAATGAACTCATGAAAAAAGAAAACAACAGACAGAACCGAAACTAATACATAAGAAAATAAACAACAACAATCTTCAAAGAGATAGTAGCCACTGTTTATTTTCCTCTGTGCATGAACTATTAAGGATCATGATCATAATGTCCAACTTAATCTCCTTAGTAAGCTGATCAATGCTCTTGATCTTCAAGTTAAAAATTCTACCATTCCTCTCCCTCCATATTCTGTACACTGTAGTCGCAAAAACCATCCTTTTCAGTCTTTGTTTGAAACATTTCCCTTTCAATCTACAGTTATACCAATCCAACAGTATGTCCCAATCACAAGCCCTCCATCTAAATTGGAGCCAATCCATGATGTTATTCCACACACCATTTGAAAAGAGACAACCAAAGAAGAGATGGTTGCGTGTTTCCTGAGCAATGCCTGATCATAAATAGCATTGGCTTGATTGAATTACACCTCTCCTAAGCAGCTTATCCCTAGTTAACAGCCTGTTTAGAACATCTAACCACAATATAAAGCTATGCTTAGGGTAGTTCAAGGTATCCTAAACTGACAAATACCAGTTTACTTTGCTTGAAACTGGAGATATGGCTAGCTCTAACAACTGAATTTTTGAATTATTGCAACATGAACTGATGCATTTCTTCAGATTTTCTATGCCTCCACAAATAATAACTGCTTTATCTCTAGCTTTGAGCAATTGCTTCCACATCCAAGAATCTCCAACTTTCATGTTCACTTGCCAGATTGTAGTATTTTTCAGATATTTTCCATGAATCCACTTAATCCACGGCCATTCTTTGTTAACATGTATATACCAAATGATTTTTAGAGCTGTGGCCATGTTCCAAACTTTTGCAAAAAAAGATTCCCAAGCCACCATACTTCTTTTCCTTGCAGATTTTGTCCCAAACAACTAGGGGAGATTTGAAAACCTGATCGGTTTTACCCCATAGGAAATCCCTGCATAAGTCATCAATTTTTTTTTTTGGAGAACCTTAGATGATAATATGTAATTTGAAGTCCAGTACAACTGAAGTCCCAGAACCACACTTTTTATGACTTGAAGCCTTCCAGCATATGTCAGCTTCTGATTTTTAAGCCAAGACTGAAATTGACTAGTAATCTTCTTAAAGAGGAGAGTGCAATCAACATAGGAGAGCCTCTTGCATATCAAAGGCACACCAAGGTATTTAATTGAAAGGGAACCCTCATGAAAGCCTAGACAACTGTTGATAGATGTTTTAACAGTTTCTTCAATACCACCATAGAAGATAGCACATTTTGAGGGATTGGCTTCCAAACCAGATATTGCACCAAAATCCTTAACACATTGAAATAATTTTTGAACAGAGTACATGTCCCCTCTACTGAATAGAAGAAGGTCATTAGCAAAAGCAAGGTGTGTGATTTTAAACTTCCCACACAAAGGATGAAATTTGAAATTTCTGTCATGCTTTAACATGTTCAGTTTCCTGGTAAGGTACTCCATGCTAATAATGAACAAAAATGGGGATAGAGGGTCTCCTTGTCTTAATCCTCTAGCACCCTTGAAATACCCGTGGAGGGAACCATTCATGGAGACAAAATCTTGTGGATGAATTACATGCCATAGTCCATTTAATGAAAACTGCTGAGAACCCCAATCCTTTGAGCATGTTTTCCAGGAAAGATACATGCCATAGTCCATTTAATGAAAACTGCTGAGAACCCCAATCCTTTGAGCATGTTTTCCAGGAAAGTCCAACTAATTGTGTCAAAGGCTAACTGCTGAGAACCCCAATCCTTTGAGCATGTTTTCCAGGAAAGTCCAACTAATTGTGTCAAAGGCTTTTTTTATATTAATGTTGAGCATAGTCCTTGGAGTTAAGTGTTTTCTGCCATAATTCTTCACCAATTCATGTGCTAATAAAATATTGTTATTAATTTGCCTACCTTTAACAAAGGCACATTGAGCTTCACTAATTATACAGCCAATGACAGATTGCAGTCTATTAGTAAGGACTTTCGAAATGAACTTGTACAGGCTGTTACAATAAGAAATTGGCCTAAAGTCAGTAGGGGTTTGAGGGCATTGTACCTTGGGTATGAGAGAGATAGAGGTAGAATTGATATAACCCAAAAGTTTTTCAGTTTTGAAGAATTCGTGGATAGCAGAGGTGACTTCCTCACCAATAATAGGTCAAGCAGTTTTGTAGAAAGATTAGGGGTGCTAAACCGTATCTGTATCCGAGGAAATATCCGTAACCGTATCCGTTAGGATACGGATATGGTTACTCAAATCTATAACCGATAGGATATGGTTACAGATATGGTTTTATAGTGAAATATCTGTATCCGTATCCGAAATATCCGAATACATATTAGTCATACTCTTACGATAGTTTCGATTCTTAGATTATGGATTTGTGGTTAATTTTGATAATCAATATGTCTAATCTTAACTTTTCAGATATAATGAACATATACACAAACTCTTTTGTATCACATGAACTATGTTTTTCTCAATACTATCTAGCTTTCTCATGTCTGTTTTGTATCTGCATACATATCTGCTTATATATCCACATGTATATCCGTAACCGTATCCGATTTTAGCGGATATGGATATGAATTTTCCTTACCGA